CCTATAGAATTTCTGCAAATAATACATATATCCAGCTTATGAACAATTACCCTTCCACCTATATTTCCTTATCAATAGCACAAAGCAAACAAATAAATGCTTGAACGACTAACCTGATTTTGTTATCCTGCCAACGATGATTGTCTTACATTTCATAAATATTTACTTTACGAAATCCTAAACAAACTTTATTGAATTCTCCGACATGACAATCGTTTAGCAGCAAAATTCTATTTAATTCTTATGTTTCCTTATGAACTTTTCACCCGTTTATCATAGAGGGGTGGGGGGAGGCAGGTTTATTTACTCCTTCTCATGCTCCACTTTTCTCTAATGGTCACTCAAATGTAATATCATACATTATTATGTCAACCTTAAGGTCCAGTGGACGAGAGTGCAACCTCCCCGACCAACAAACAGATACACATGCATGGATCCGTACATAGGTACTAAGTATATGAACATGTATTCTTCCGGTTTCCGGCCGGTATGTCATTTAAGGATGTTAGCAAACGGTATAACAAATGCAGCAATTCTCATGTCTCTTCGATGCTCAGGTGTGTAAGTGTAAGTGGGTGTGTGTGTGTGACTGTGTTTGTCGATGACAAAGAAGACGAAGGTAAGTACATTTATATTACATCTTGGGTCAATACAAAGGGTGTGCTGGTAGTGTCACTTAAATACATGATCATGTCCAGGTGTATTAGCGAAGACATGCTCATAGATTTGTAATATACTGATATTAGGGTGGGTCAAGAAAAACTCATAATATATTTGTAGATTGTTTTTGTAAATTTCTGCAATGAAAAATAAACCTTAAAACTACTTCAAACTATTCGAAAGAACTAGTCCTAGTCTACTACTACTTCCATGGTTTGTTTGACTACTCTGCGTATGAGTGATATGAAATATTTGCAATAACTCATACGCCAAGGGACTGGTTTTCTGAATTATGAACTAGATTGACACAACTCTATTTCCGAATACAACTTCAAGGGACTCGAATTTCTTTGCAAGTGGATTTGATAGACCAAGATATTGACAGACTTCTACATTAAAATAGTCCTTCCCCTACTTTTCCCATCATAAATACCCACGACTTCAAACAATTGACTATCTCCCATCCTCCCCAACCTAAGCTAATACATCGATTTATTATACACACGCAATTTACTTTGACATAAACTGTATTCAACGCTTCTGGCTATGAGGACATTTATTATGCGAAAATACGACAAGTGGCTTTGCAATAAGACCCTAACATCCTTCTTCCTCCAACCACCCTTCCCCCGCCCCGTTAACAGCAGCTTATATGTGGATGTTAAGATTAAGTGAGTCAATCAAAATGCAAGATTTTCGCATAAGAACGAACATTTTAAAGTGGAAAATTCAAAAGGAAAACAATGGAAATGTTGCAAAGTACTCAGAAAAAAAAATAGGATTGGCAAAATTCAATAAGTATTTCGTAAGAAACTGAAAAAGTCACGGGTGAAGGATAATCTTGATTTTTTTAAAGGATATTTTTTGCCAAGAACCAGCGAAGCTAAAAAGGAGGATTTTACAAAATATTTTCAAGGAATATTTGTCCAAGGATAATATAAGCTACAAACGAAATTATTTTTCGGGGACCAACTGGAATATTTTTTCAAGGATCACAAACGTAATTGTCCAGGATTTTTTCAAGAATATTTGTTTAAAGACCAAATATGGACTTGGGAAAAATTATTTTCAAGTACCATCAAGGCTATAAATTTGGATTTTTTAAATAATATTTTTTCAAAGACCCTCAGGACAACAAACCTGGATTTCTTAAAGAATTATCCTAAGGAACTTCAAAGTTATAAACGTAGATTTTTTCTACTAACATTTTTCCAACTGCCCTCAAAGCTATAGACATGGATTTTTTAAAGAATATTTTTCAAGGACCACCTATGCTTTAAACTTCGATTTTTAAATAATCATCAAGACTATAAACGTAGATTTTATAAAGAATATTTTTCAATGACCTTGGAGGCTACAAACTTGGATTTTTAAAAAATATTTTTCAAGGGGTATCATTGCTATGCACGTGGATTTTTAATGAATTTTTTTAAGGACCTTCAAGACTACATACTTGGATTTTGTAAATAATAGTTTTGAAGGACGTCCAAGGCTACTAGGTGTTTTTTAAAGCATGTTGTTCAAAGACCCTAAAAGCTATAAACGTGGATTATTTGAAGAATATTTTTAATGAACGAATGGATTTTTAATGAATAATTTTTCAAGGACTTTTAAGGCAACATAGTCAGATTTTTTTTAAAGAATAATTTTGTCAAGCACCTTTAGGGCTACATGTGTATATCTTTTAAAGGACCTTCATGGCTACAAACGTGAATTCTTGAAATAATATTTTTCAATGACCTTCAAGGCCTTAAACGTGGATTTTTTAAATAATATGTTTCAAGGAACATCAAGGCTACATACCTTGATTTTTTAAAGATTATTTTTTGAAGAACCTTTAAGGCTACAAATGTGGATATTTTTAAGAATATTTTTTCAAACACCTTCAAGGGTACAAACGCGGATTTTTTAAAAAATATGTTTTAAGGACCTTCAAGGCTGTAAACGTGGATTTTTTAAAATATATGTTTTAAGGATTTACAAGGCTATAAACGTGGATATTTTAAAGAATGTTTTTTTTTCTCAGGGTATGAAGGCTATAAGAGTGGGTTTTTTAAGAATGAAGGCTATAAGCGTGGGTGTTTAAAGAACATTTTCAAGGACCTTCAAAGTTCCGAATGTGGATTTTTAAAGAATATTTTTTTAAGGACATTCAAAGGTACGAACGTGGATTTTTAAAGAAAAAATTTTCAACGACTTTCAAAGCCTCGAACGTGGATTTTTAAAGAAAATTTTTTCAACGACTTTCAAAGCCTCGAACGTGGATTTTTAAAGAAAAAAATTTCAACGACTTTCAAAGCCTCGAACGTGGATTTTTAAAGAAAAAATTTTCAACGACTTTCAAAGCCTCGAACGTGGATTTTTAAAGAATTATTTTCAAGACCTTTCAAAGCCTCGAACGTGGATTTTTAAAGAATTATTTTCAAGACCTTTCAAAGCCTCGAACGTGGATTTTTAAAGAATTATTTTCAAGACCTTTCAAAGCCTCGAACGTGGAGTTTTAAAGAATTATTTTCAAGACCCTTCAAGGCTACCAACGTAAAATTTTTTAAGAATATTTTTCAAGGACCTCTGAAGCTACAAAGGTGGATTTTTAGAGATTTTTTTTCAAGACCCTTCAAGGCTTCTAACGTAAATTTTTTAAAGAATATTTTTCAAGGACCTATAAAGCTATAATTGAGAATTTTGTAACACAAATTTTAAAGGACCATAAATGCCATAAACGTGGATTTTTTAAAGAATATTCTTTTCAATTACCTTTAAGGCTACAATCGTAGATTTTTTAAAAAATATATTTTCAAGGACCTTCAAAGCTACAATCCTAGATTTTTTAAAGGAGTTGACAGCTACAAAATTGGAATTTTTAAGAAAAAAATTCAAGGGCCATCTAAGCTACAAACATGGATGTTTAAGGAATATTTTTAAAGACTTTCAAGGTTTCAAACCTGGATTTTTTAAAGAAGAAGGATTTATTTAAGAATATTTTTTTTCAAGGACCTTCAAGACCAATGATGTGGAATTTTTAAAGAATAATTTATAAGAACCTTCAATGCTTCAAACTTGGAATTTTTTAATAGAATTTTTCCAAAGACCTTCAAGGTTGTAAACGTCGATTTTTTAAAGATTTTTTAAGGACCTTCAAGGTTGTAAACTTGGAATTGGAAAACTTGGAATTTTTTAATAGAATTTTTCCAAAGACCTTCAAGGTTGTAAACGTCGATTTTTTAAAGATTTTTTAAGGACCTTCAAGGTTGTAAACGTGGATTTTTTAAATAAATTTTTTCCAAGGACCCTTAAGGCTATAAACATGGATTTTTTACAGAAAAAAATTTCAAGGACTTTCAAAGCTTCGAACGTGAACTTTTTTAAGAATTTTTTTCAGGGATCTTCAAGGCTACAAATGTGGATTTTTAAAGAATTTTTCTTCGAGACCCTTCAAAGCTACAAACGTAAATGTTTTAAAGAATATTTTTCAAGAACCATCAAAGCTATAAACCTGGATTTTTTTAACGATTTTTTTTCAAGGACCATTAAAGCCACGAACCTGGATTTTTTATAGAATATGTTTTCAAGGACCTTAATGGCCACAAACGTGGATTTTTTTACTAAATTTTTTCTAAGGATCTTCAATGCTATAAACGTGGGTTTCAAGAATATTTTATTGTCACATATAGAAACAGTTTATGTGGGGTTTAACGTGCAAAATATGTGTGTGTTATAGTTAACCAATTAAGAATGTTGCTAGTTTACAGGACTCATCGATTCCTTTACCATGGATTGAATGGTGGTGGCTGTAAAGTAAGGATACGTCTTCAAATGTTCTTTATATGTTCCATTACCAATAAGTACTTACATTGCCATCATTGTAGGCCAACAAAGCGGTAAAGGCAGCAGCAACCATTGCAAGGAACTTCATTTTCAAAATTCGAAACTTTTCAACTCGTTTTCGAAACAAAGATGAAGTTTAGAATGACAAGTTAGGGTTTCAAATGGCATTATATAGTTGGCTGAGATTATGAATTGAGCTACATTCTATCTAAATATTAATTAATTCGAAATACGTAATAAAATGTTTGAACAATAATAGTGACTCAATGTATCTTTTTGAATTCTAAAATTATTTGTAACTATGAATAGTTTACGACTAAAAAAATAGCTCTTTGATTCTTCGTGAATTTAAATATTTTATTATTGATTTAGAATAACGACAGAAGTTAAACAAAGGCAGCCTATAACAATTTGGCATGCATTTAAATGCATAACCTAGCCATTTAATGAGCCACAATGAAACAATGGAAATTTAGCGATGTTTTGTATAAATATTAAAAAGCCATGCAAGTGCTTGTTTTCTTAAATATTTTCATAGAAAATAGTTTGAAAGTCTAAAAATAAATATTCATAATGAAGCTCCTTGCCATGATTGCTGCTGCTCTCACAGCCTTATTGGCCTATAATCATGCCGATGTAAGTCAAATTTTATTCGTAAAAACAATTCAATTGATGGTAAAATTTTCTTTTATCTTTAGCCCCCACCATTCTATCCATCCATTTAAACGATTTCTGTGCTACCATTTTAAATGAAAATAAAATATTGCGAAAATAAAAACTAAACTACATTTGAATTTTAATTGGAGGGAAGGCAGGTGGGTATAGCTAAAGCAGATTTTATACAAGAATACAGGGTGAAATAAAAAAATGCAACAAAGTCAAACTCCATAATTTTTACATTTTTTTTTAAATTTTATTGAATGAAAGCAAAAAATTTCGGAAACAGATTTGTTCGAATTGGTCAACTTTGGCACGAAATATGGCCTTCAAACGGCCAATGAAACCGTCACACGCTGCCCGAATATTGCTCTATATTTTGGCGCATTCCCGGCGAAGTGCTTGCGGTGATCGACACTTTGGTACTTTTTAGTGCCAACCTTTATTTTGGCCCATTCCCGGCGAAGCGCTTGCTTGAGGTGATCGACACTTTGGTATTTTTTAGTGCCAACCTTGATTTCCATAATACTCCAGACACAATAGTCCAACGGAGCTGGAAATGAAGCGAGGAAACTCATTTTGTAACCATTCTGAGTGCGATGGTGCTGAGTCCTGTTGGAATGTCCAAGGTCTGCGGCCAAAATGTGTGTGTGCCCAAGGCTTTAATACACCCTCGAGAATATTTTCGCGATAATATTCGGCTTTTATTTTGATGCCACGGTCGAATTATACGAGCGGAGAGCGACCATCGGCTGTTATGGGGGCCCTCACCATCACCATGGCCGGCTCTTGAGTTATGGTGGCCAACCGAAGGTGTATATTTTCAGCTGACCTCTTTGGCATGTAAACACGTTTACAAACTGCTGGCCAACGAATGTTTTCTCATCGGATATAACCAAATTCGGCAGTTCACAACTTTCGGCCTAGCGAAGCACTATTTAAATCTTAGCAGTTTATTTTCTTTCTGTTGCGCTGAAAGTTCTTGCACTTTTTGAAATTTCAATAGCTTTACCCCGACCTTATGTTTCAATATTTGCCGAATGTTCAGCTCACGAGCCATTTTTCGACTACTGCGACGCGTGTTTCGATCAAGTCGCTTCTTTATTTTTAGAACCATTTCTGCTGATGTTGCTGTTTTCTACCGCCCACTTCCACGTCGTCGCAGTCATAAGAGTTGAACTGAGTTTGAGTGTCTAAGGACCTCCCACATTCGCGGAAACCAAGGATAGATATTTTGAAGGTATATTAACTTTGTCATTTCGTTTATAAATCCTCGAAATAGTCACGACAGACCCTATACTGTATATACAGGGTGAGATGAATAAAACTGCAACCAACTTCAGACTGCTACCATGTCTAAGCCACTCGTCCGACAGTTGTTATTAGCAGATCAAACGTCTTTTTAGACCACATACTCTTTAATATCGCAAATATTAAACCAAAATACTACTTTAAACCTATTTCTCTCGCTCCCCTCCCCCACCACTGCCATTTCATCATCATTTTACAATAAACCATATGAGTTCCCGCTAACGAAATTCCTTTTTTTTTTTCTTCTGTTGGTCTCTATACCCATTGGGGTTTTCATTTATACCGCAATAACAATCGAGACAAAACACACAGCTGACACAGCGGCCGGCATGGATGCATGCCCGCCGCCTGACGCTTGACTGCCTGCCTGCAGTGTGGCAAGAATAACAACACTAACGATGACATTACGACAGTAATTTTTGGTAACAGTTTGTGAATGTTGAAAAATAACAACATTTATCTTTCGCTCTCCCCATCACACAGACACCGAACACACACACGCACACAGACATACTCACACGAATACACACATTGCATTGTTTGTTATGCGTTGCAAAGTGTGAAAGTGTCATAAAAATTGCATTAAGGAAACGGAAACTGGCAAACAAAAATCAGACCGACCAAAACGACCTGAGTCTGAGTGAATATGTGTGCGAGTATGTGTGTGTGTGTATGTGAAAATTTGCTATAAGGGAACACCACCGTGTGTGTGCATTATGTGAGGTGCAACAAATGCTTGTTCCTGTGTCGTCTGCAACATCTTTATGAACATTTAAGCGACAGCAGGTGAGAATGTGTACATGTGTAGGTGTGTGTATGTGTGAGAAAAATTTGGATTTTTGTTTTGATGTTTTTGGATGTCGAATGTGGCTCCTCAAATGATAGAGGAAGAAAAATCTATACCGGATGAGGTTCCTCAGATAACCACAGTAGGAGGAGTTAAACTGCGTTCGAGTGTCTAAGGACATCCAACCTTCGAATACTTAAGGACAGATATTTTGAGGGTATTTTAACTGTGTCATTAATATTATACTTGATCAGCCCAAAATTCTGAGTTGAGCGTAAAATTCTGGGTGAGATGAAAAAACTGCAACCAATTTCAGACTGCCGTCATTTCCAAGCCACTCGTCCGACGGACGGACATCGCTAAATCGATATAGAATTTTATGCTGATAAAGAATATATATACTTTGTGGGGTCTAAAATTTATATTTCGAGGTGTTACAAATGGAATGACAAACTTAATATACCCTCCATGCTATGGTAGAGGGTATAAACATGTAAAAATTATGGCTTTTGTCTTTTTTGCAGGTTTTTTTTTTATCTCACCCTGTATAGTCTAATACCTGGAATTAGGGAATGATCCTTACAAGGAATAGTTTGTGTTAGAGAAAATTTTATAAGAGCTCCTTAATAAGGAATCAAATTGTGGATATACACTGCCCTTATTCCCTGTTCTTGTAGACAACTTCCTGCTCGCCCTATATTAGCATATAGATGGCTCTCGTTTCAAAATGTTGACCTATGCCAAAAATTTAGAAATAAGCTCCCTTTCCATCTCATACATAACCACAAATACTTACTCTTACCAAATGGAACTGGAAAATTTTTATCTAAATTGTTTTTTTTTTTTTCATTCTATTTGTCTGAACAACATCAAGATGGCGCTAGTTAAACCAAGTTTTTAGAAAAGTTTTTGTTAAAGATCTTTTCAAAAGAAAAAACTTTTTTCCAAGTATATTAATTACGATTTTATTTACGATTGATATTTGTGAACAGAACCCAAATACATGTTTAATGGAATTTTGCAATCAGATAAAAGAGCTCTGGCATTCCTTTACTTTCCGGGAAGGAAGGGTGGTAGCTATGAATTAAAGTAAACATTTTATTTGCATTTTAGCTGAAATCTGAACATCAAATTAAGAACTTACCTTGATTTTTTCACCACTGTAGGCCAGTAAAGCGGTAAAGGCTGCAGCAACCATAACTAGGAAATTCATTTTTGAATATTAGAACGATGAGTTAGTAGCCACCCAGTTGACTTTATATAGTTGCTTATGGATGGATGCCGAACTATGGTTTATTAAGTGGTGTGAATATTCAGCTCAATGCATGACGAATTTCGAATTAATGATTTAGTTTAAAATGGAATTGGAAATGGGAAAAGTTTCTTGGGAATGTTTTAAGCAAGGTATAATTAATTCCAGGCATCTTTATTTCAAATAATAATATTCTGCTCGGCATTTTGCATGGAGAACAGGTTTCGATCTCTGAATTTTGTGTATAAAGTGGAAATATGAATACACATTTTTTATTGGGATGTTGTCAAAATATAATATTAGTTGGGGTAAACTTAAATAAAAATCACATATTGCACAGTTAGACAAAAATATACTGTTAATACCTAAATTTTAAAATAATAACCTACTGAATGTTATTGAGTTAGAAGTACATACTTTATATACTTTCGAAAATTGGTTCATGTTTTTCAGAAAACTATTTGAATGCCCAATACCACGAATAGTTATGTCATTATATTCGCCTAAAAGTATGCTTATCTACAGAGAATACTTCTTCGCCCAATATCAATATGAAGATGGCGTTCGTAATATTTTCTTTTTATAAATTTGAGACAAACCGTTTTTCTTAAAGAAACCAGTTCATGTCCGACTTAATAAATGCCTTCAAGAGTTAACTTTTCTCAGAGAAAAAATGGTTCACCTCAAATTATCTATTCTTCTCAGGCAGCTATACGTTCGATGAATATCCATATAAAGATGGCTCTCACTTTAACATGTAGTGAAACCCAAAGTGTTCGATCGCCCAATATAAATATGACAAGTAAAAAAGCTGTAAGTTCATCCGGGCCGAACTTTGAATACCCTCCATTATTCGAACGAATTTGGCAATTCACAAAAACAATAAAAAAAATCCGTTAAAATCTTAGTAATACCGAATGTAGCCGTTATATTAGAGTCAATACGACGACATAAGCCATTATAATATTCAAATGCGAAACTTACAAAAAATCGGTAAATAATGTAGCTACAATTATAAAAATACCGATTATCGGGAGGTACCGTTATATGGGGGCTATACGAAGGCGTGGACCTGCACAATTTTCTGTCTTAGGATTTAGTATTCATTGCGAACTACAAATACTAAATTTGACATAATTCCGATGAATAATGTCGCTAAAATCATCAAAGTACCGTGGTCCTGCAGAGACAATTTTCTGCCTTACTCTGTAGTATCCATTACGAACATCAAATACCAAATTTGAAACAATTCCGGTAAATAAAGTAGCTATAATCATCAAAATACCGAATTTTGGAAGGAACCGTTATATGGGGGCTATACGAAGGCGTGAACCTGTATAGACAATTTTCTGTCATAGGCTGTAGCATCCATTACGAACTTCAAATACAAAATTTGAAACAATTCCGGTGAATAATGTCGCTAAAATCATCAATATACCGAATATCGGGAAGTACCGTTATATGGTGGCTATACGAAGACATGGACCTTCATAGCCCATTTTCAATACCAAAAGTCCTGCAGACATAATACACATTTGAGTAAAATATTATCAACCTACTTTAATTCGTTCGGAAGATAGAGTGATTTTCACAGACGGACGGACATCGTTAAATCGACATAGAATTGTATGCTGATCAAGAATATATATACTTTGCTGAATGACAAACTTAATATTCCGTCCATACTATTCTATACTTTTTAAATATTTTTCTTGCTTAATCCGCCTAAAGGTGTGCTAACAAATTTTCTATTCATCAGCTCAATTTTAACATCAAGATGGCGCTCGTTGAGTATGTACTATCGCTACTTTTTTAACTTTTCTTTTTTTTTCAATATTTCGACTTATTATAACCTCCACCCTTAAAAGGAGGATATATTAACTTTGTCATTCCGTTTGTAACATTCCTAAATATTAGTCGTAGACCCCATAAAGTATATATATTTATATATATTATATTCATCATCAGCTTGAAATTCGAAGTCGATTTAACGGTGTCCGTCTGTCTGTGTGTCTTTGGAAATCACGATTATTTGATGTAGAGCTTCAAAATTTGTGCAGAATATTTTTTATTGTGTCTAGAATGATTGGTATTGAAAATGAAATATATCGGTCCACATTTTGGCATAGCCGCCATGTAGCGGTACCTCTGTACATTCGGTATTTTGATGATTTTCGCCACAATTTTCCAAGGATTTGTCTAAAAATTGGTATTTTATGTTCGCAATGGGCTCTTGCTCTGGTGGCGGAACATTGTACGTATAGGTCCACGCTTTTGTATAGCTCTCATATACCGATATTCGGTATTTTGATCATTTTTGCCACATTTTCCACGGATCTGTTTAAAAATTGGCATTTTTAGTTCATAATGGCTCCTGTGACATAGTACATATAAGTCCACGTTTTGGTGTAGCAGCGGAACCTACTGATATTCGGTGTATTGATGATGTTTTCCATATTTTTTATGGATTTGTCTAAGAATTGGTATTTGTATTTCATAATGGGCTCTAGCTCCTTTGCGGAACATATTATGTATACCACCACGTTTTTGTACAGCCCCCGATATTCAGTATTGTAATGATTTTTACCACAATTTTGACAATCCTTGAAGTATACAATTATCTGTATAATTTTCCGTTTACCACTATACGGTCTTACCGATATTTTTAGTCTAAAGTGGAACACGTTTGAATTCAGATACTTTTATATAAAAATGATTTCCTTATCCACTGGTGGAGGGTATTAAAAGTTCGGCCCGTCCGAATTTAAGAATTTTGTACTTGTTTTTTTTTTTCATTTGCCTTATAGTGGTAAGGTAGCATTTATATAAATTACAGATCGGACAAAATTTTCAGACATACTTTTCTTCAATAAAGAAAAAAGAAGTTAAGGAAGTTTCTTTTCAAAGCATATTTAGAAAGATTTTATTTATGATTGGTGTTTTAATATATAAATCAAATCCATTATTGGGCAATTATCCATCCAGATGTCAGGACTCCAGCATTCTTTTACTTGCCGGGGTTGAATGGTGGTGGCTATAAAAATAAGAAATTATATCAACTTTTTTCAAAAAAAGAAAATCGAAGTATGAACTTACGTTGCCATCATTATAGGCCAATAGAGCGGTAAAAGCAGCAACAACCATAACTAGGAACTTCATTTTGGGAAACTAGGTGATGACTTGTAGAATGATTTAGTAGCAGTTCGGTTGGGCTTATATAGTTGTCCGTTGGTGCTTTGCAATGACTCATTAAGTCGTATGAATATGCATTGCAATGTGTGACAAATTTCGAAATTATAAATTACTTTTAATATCCATTCAAATTAATGGCAAATTTGAAATTTGTGTCCTGTTAAGTCGAAGGTCATTTGTTGATAGATATGTATTTGATCATTTTCTCTTTCAAGTGGAGCTTTAAATGACGGAAGGAGATGACGTTGAAAATTGGAATCTAAAGCATCAACCAGTATGCGACGCATTTTGCCATTGGTTAAGCGGCTCATCAGGCACATTTAATGCTACTTTTAGTGATCAATAATAAAGATGAATTTTGGAAAGTTCCGTGTATTCGTACATCATTCGATAAATTCATACTCGAATTGATGTGGAAAATTTTCCAGGTGGGTCTATAGTCTGACTTTAGAAGCCTGTTTTCAATGCTCAACATATGTTTTTGTGAAATTCTTCAATTTTCATAGATGTTATAAGTTAAGTTATAGTTTATACCGAATCAGATCCAATTTTTATACCCTACACCACAAGGTGGTCAGGGTACTATGTCTTTGTACATTTGTTTGTAACAGGCAAAAGGAAACGAGATAGACCCATAGTTCTTTTTGATGATCTACATAGATTCACATTCTGAGTCGATTTATGCATGTCCGTCCGTCTGTCCATGTATTTTTGTAAACAAAGTACAGTTCGCATTTATTACCCGATCCAAATGAAATTTTGCTCAGATCATTTGTTTGGCCTAAGGACGAACCCTATTCAAATTGGAGATAATCGGTCAAAATTTAAATATAGCTCCCATATATATTTTCGTCCGATTTGCCTTTATTGTGCACCAAACGTGTAATATCAGCCCGAATAGTATGGAATTTTGCACGTACAACCAAATTAGGCCTGAAAATAAGTATGCCAAATTTGATCGAAATCGGTTCAGATATAACTATAGCTCCAATATATATTGTTCTTCCGATTTTTTATTTTTGTCCTCCGCAGTCGTAATATGCACTATGTAACAACAATATTTGGGGAAATATATCAAATACAGCTCAGAAATACATTTGCTAAATTTTATCGAGATCGGTTCAGATTTGGATATAGTTCCCATATATAACTTTATATGATTTCAAATTAATTTTGCACCAAAAGGGCAATACAAGTCCGAATTTAAAAGATACAAATGCTTCGGCACATTTAGTCCTTTGAACTTTAAATTATAATTATAATCATGGCGTGTATGATTGAATTCTCCCATAAAAACGTTCAATTGTTATGTCGAGAAAGTCTTAAAGAAAGTCTTAAAGTCGGGCGGGGCCGACTTTATGATACCCTACACCACTTTGCTAATTAAGTAGAGCTCCACATAACAATTAAAAGTTTTTATGGGAGAATTCAATCATACACGCTATGATTATAATAATTTAAAGTTCAAAGGACTAAATATGCCGAAGCATTTGTATCTTTTAAATTCGGAATTGTATTGCCCATTTGGTGCACAATTAATTTGAAATCGGAAAAAGATATATATGGGAGATATATCCAAATCTGAACCGATCTCGATAAAATTTGGCAAAGATATTTCTGAGCTGTATTTGATGTATTTCCCTGAATATCGTTGTTACGGAGTGCATATTACGGTTGTGGGTAACAAATATAACAAATCGGATGAATAATATATATGGAAGCTATAGCTATATCTGAACCGATCTTCACCAAATTTGACATACTAGCTTCTAGACTCAATTCGGTCGTAAGTGCAAAATTCCATCCCATTTGGACAAATAT